CTAACTATAAAAATTTGCTTCTCAAAGAAAATCAACGACTTACGAAGCTCACGATACGAGAACTCGGTGAATTATACGATAGAAACGTACCTGACTATTGAACAACAGTGGTGTTACATTACACCAACGACCGTACAGAATATGTTAAAAAGTTTAGAACGGGAAGTATTCAAAAGCAGGAAATGTTGCCGTATTTGAACTGGTAACTCAGAAAATAAAGAAAATAAAGTTTCGTTTGGTACCCTGCTGCCTTGCCTAAACAAGTCAACAAAATATCAAAAGGCACTTCACAATCTTTATTTGCTAAATTAACACTTGAATCTCCTGTTGCAAAGCCGTGTTTTGAAACTCCCGCACAAAGTCTTATTAACACAGTCTCAACGGCCGCTAGTGTAACGTAACACCACTGATTTTCAAGAGTCACGTACGCATCAGTCACACAATCCACGAAGCTCTCGCATCGTGAAAGACAAAAAAAAAAATAAAACTGGATTTAAAACTGTGAAACAAACCTGACGAAACATTTTCCACAAACCCTAACTGTAAATCCTTTTTCGGGCCAGTTCATTTTTTATCGATAGCCTTTGCATTCTAGTTAATTTTGAAGAAAACATCGCCGATCCTAACGTTTAGTCCACGAACAAAAACTATCTGATTAGTCCTATTTTCGGTTCGAAAAAAATCTCTCAATCAGTCTTACTTTGGTCCCTTGCTACTTCATGTATGTCTGTCTCAAGTGTCCTAACTTCTTAATATTGCCTCCAGTGTCGTGTCGTGTCTTGTCTTTGTCTTTGCCTTTATCTTCCCTCAATCGTCTGGTCACTGAGAAATCCTGAAAGAAAGAAAGAAAAAAAAATTGTTTGATATGTGTCACACTGAGCTTTGTAATGTATTTGTGCTGCATTTGCACTTTATTTACAACTACACAAAGCTTTCTCCATCCTATCCCATATTGATGGTTGTCTTTATTCTCATCACCTGTTTGCTCGACAATGTACTGATTTTGTCAGCAGAAATTGGATTTTGATGACTTTTGTAAGCTAATGGGATCAGAAAACCTCAACATTAATTTACAGTAGCTATTAAATTGATAATGGCTTTGACGTAATTCATGATTATCATTGCTCTTTAAACAGAGAAGAAAAAAAAAGTGGAATCTGCAGACTGGTTAGTACACTATAGCACAGGCTTTCGAATCCATCAATAGAAATGCCAGTAGTAAAATTAATGGCAATGTGGCACAAATATTTGATTCAACAATTTACTGTTTTTGCTGCTACTGTTGCTGCTGCTGTTGTTATTGATGTTGTTGTTTAAACAACAACAAGTGAAGATTAGCCAGCCTCTGCAACAATAACCATTGAAAGCTTCCTTTTTGTGACTGGAATATTTGAAATAAATGTACTCTCTCAATTTACTGTTGCTCTGCCAACCTTGTAAAACAAAACGTTCCGGTGACAACAAGAAGACTTCAAAGAAAACTAAGATAAGTCCCAAATACTTGAAAATATTCCAACAAATTTCAGCTCTAATTTGAAAAAGAAAATCAGTAATTACCTAGTTCTAATTACACAGTTCAGCTGATATTTGCCAACCAGTTTCTCTTTCAATGAACATGCAAACAAACTTTTCAGCAAAAAATCTTATTTTCTCATTCAGGAATATGTAAAGAAAGCTCTGCTTTTTCCTTGATTTCAGTGAGCCATCAGTTGTTACAAGAAACATGTTTAGATTCGTTGTTGTTTTTTTCAGTCAAAATTTGAGGTAATCTGTTGGATGTAAGAAGGATGCTGAGATAGTATGATAGCATGATTAGTTGGTAAAATTTGGAGTCAACTGATGACTGTCGATAAGAATGCTCACATTAAAACATGATTTCTCAATTACAACTGTTTGGAGGCATTAATGTAAGCTATAGGAAAACATAATGAGAGAAAACATGAACTGCATAATTTAGGGTGATTCCTTAGAAATAAATGATGTCAAACAATTTTTTTTGAAACTTTCCCTGAATGTCCGCTACCAAGCGTTGTTTCAAAGAAATAAACTAAAAAAAGAAATGTCACCATGCTCGCAAAAAAGATCATGATGGGCCAATCTGACACCATTTTTGCCTAATCATGCGAGTTATTTTGTTGGTTCACATTACATTTTCTGGTAGCTGGAAAAGTTCTGTAAAGGAAAACTTGAAAAAAAAACACTTGTAGATAGGAAGTTTCAAGCCCATGGAACAATGTAGTATACAGCTTTTCAGACAATCACACAATTTTTTTAAACTAAAAGGTTTGGTTTCAAGGTCATACATTTAATTTCCATCCTCGAATGACAGTTTTGTGCACGCTCAGGTTTAGCAGTATCTTTTTGTCCTTCCAAACAATAACTTAAAGAGGATAATTTGTACACCAAAATTATGTAATAGAGAATTTTGTCAGTATGGATGTTGTGATAGAAACATGATTTGTCAGTTAAAATTTGTAAGCATCTGTCATTTGTCAAGAACCATTTGGAGATCAAAACATGTCTTGTCAGTTACACGTTAAAATAGGCATCATCTGTCAGTGAGTAAGGATGCTGAGATCAAAACCTGATTTGTCACTTAAAATTTGGCATCAACTTTCAGTGGTCAGAACAGATGTTGTGATGATAACATGAATTGCCAGTTAAAATTTGGAATCATCTGTCAGTTGTCAATAATTTTCTCCTTACAAATTATTTCACTTCTCTATCAAGCAGAGAAGTGATGAGAATAAAGCAAATCAGCAACTAGGAAATATTGTACAGTTAACAAATTTTGAAAACTTACACCCCCAAAATATTGCAATAACTGGGGAGAATTCATGATTATTTTGTGCCTCTCTGGGCATTTCAAGGTCTTTTTTAAGTTTACAAGGGCCAACATTTTCAAACCTCAGGGGAAAGAAATTTTAAAAATTGACTAGATCTACACGTTAATTGCTTGTAGTGAGACAAAGAAGCACCAGTTTCAGGTGATAAATCCTTGCAAAAAAAAAAAAACTTCCAGCTCTTTTTGTCTAATTGAAAAAGGCATGGATGATCCCAAATTATCTTGACACCAATAAGTGTCATTCAACCAAATTTCTCAAGACTGAACTCCAACCTATAATGGTACACTGTACCTGTCCTTCAAACAGATTAAAATTATAGTGATACACTAGTCAACTGACACTAGAAAACAAAAACTTCAGCTGACCTGCCATGTCTGATGTATTTCACTTCCTCCACTGATCTTTTGGCGTCTTGTGTTTCTTGTTTGCCCTGAAAGATATACAAACATATTGCTGAATTACTTACAATTTGCTACTGTTGTTATATTTAGCATTGTAAATTTAACTGATGGAAAAACCACTAATAACAGTAGCAATAATATTACATAAAAATGTAGGAAAAGTTACACTTGCAAACAGAAATATACACTGACCTGGTCTAGCAGTATCTGACTCCTCCAGTGATCTTACAGCAGTTGTCCTACACGTATGTTGTTGTTTACTTTGATCTTGTTTGCCTGATAATAAATGAAAATATTTTGGTGAAAGACCTATCCCTTGCTGTTCACTTTTGAATAGAAGTTAATACAAGCAACATTGAAAATGGATAAAAACAGTGTTTTAATAAAAGTGATAAACTGAACGGCAGTTTTACCTAGTACACTTAGCACACACACGACACGTTACATTCTCCAGGTGAATATGGTCATTGTTCAACCTTCTCAACACATCAAGATAATCTAGTGTTCTTTTGAATGAGACCTCAAACTACAATATTTAGCCAAGTCTTTTTCAAGCTTTTGCCGATCAATGGAATCATTGACTTGCCTTTACTAAACACATTAGATTAGCCCCACCAAAAAGAAACCTAGAACATCCAATATGCTACTGAAGGTCAACATTCAATGCTTAAATCAAGATAAGGTTAGCAGTTGTAATACAGGAGTCCTGAAATCTCTACTCTAAGATAATGGTGTCAGTCATATTCAATAACAGTGCTATCCCCTTCATCAATTCTTAACAGAAAGAATTCCAACTGATACTACATACAGTACTTGTAACTGTCATGTACATTTGCTAACTTCTATATATACACAGAAAATTACCTTTTCAATAGCTTTATCTGGCCCCGGAAGTAGGGGGTGACTCCCATGTAAAAAGGACGGGGGTGCTTGTCAGAAATTTTGAGAATAACCCCTAAGAGCTACCAAGATCCTGCTTTGTGGGCATGGCTTGAAATTTTTTTACCCCTTAGAAGCTCCAATTCTAAAACAACACATTATCACCTGTCATATTTTTTCAGCTTAATACCCTAAAAGGTACTGCAAAAGCTCCTGCTGTGGACCTTTTGACGCTGAACACCCTTGGAGGTACTAAAACTGCTTTTTTAACTCCTAAAAGGTACAACGAGTACCTCTGTCCTTTTTATATGTAAGTCTCTCCTGCCCCCCCCCCCCCCCCCCCCCCCCCCCCCCCCCCCCCCCCCCCCCCCCCCCNTTAGTACTCTAGGGCCGTCACGTTATGTTCATGTGCTCCATGTTTTACCTGATAAATAAATAATAAAAATAAATTACAATACAATACACACAGTTAGTAAGCGATGTATTGCCTGCTTTTTGCAACATGATTTCCACAATGTTCAAACAATCGATCAATTAATCAATCGTAAGTCTAATACAGACCAAAAAAGTGTAAGTCAAAAATAAATAAAGTCAACATAAGGACAGGCTAGTCCACTATTCATTAATTTATCGATTTATTTTGGCTAACTAAATGTCTCAAAGCATGTAAACGTCTTTTCATCCAATTAAGTAATCAAAAGTAGCAATAACACATAAAGTTTTCATTAAATGTAACCTTACATGCTGAGGATGGTAAAAGACAATACTTACATCTTGAGGTCGCTTGCTGTTTCTGGCTCTTGAATAAGCCCGGAATAAGTAAGCGCATTTCCCTCCAGTTTATTTCACCAGCAAGAGTTTGTGTCTGGAACACGTTTGGGATCATTTCTTGTAATGTAAACTCGGTATTAGGCAAAGGTTCGAAGGAAGAGGTGACCTCGTGCAAGGGTGCTGAAAATTAACGGCAATGCAAATTCAATTTGAGTCCCAGGACCGCCTGTCTTTCTTAGCCGCGGGGCCTTGGCGCGAGGAAAAGGAGGTTCTGAGACCACATGATTCTCAGTTGCTAAAACTTCTTGATTTCTAACTAAAACCTTTGCATTAGTGCTTCCACAGGGTTACGTTTTAACAATGGGATCATGTATATGTTATATTGTGGAGGAACTTACTGAAAACGTATCCCCGTAAGCAAGAGTCATAAGATGTCATAACTTGTAAGGTGCATCAAAATCCGTGCCGGCAATGGTACCCATTAAGTGCGTTTTTCTTTTTCTGAATGCCGCTACGTTTCGGGGTATCAGTGGCCAAACACATGGAGTTAATATTGAAAAGTCTCAATAGGTACATTGCATCTTCTTAAATTAAAGGAACAATTTGATGTGTGTTTCTTGGCAAAAATGTACATCTTGGATCAGAGTTGACAAAAAGTCTTTTTAGCGTGCATCTTCTAGGAGTGGTTAGGTTCAGGTCACGAGTAAAAGGGTAAGTAAAAATTTTTGGCAGTTATTTTTTTACCTGACGTTAGAATTTTTTTCTTACTCATTCAGTGGAAAGGCAATGAGAACTTTAGTTATAAAATAAAAAAGGGGGTGCCCATGCTCGTTAAGGAGCAGTGAGGCATTGAAAATGTCCCATTTTCGCGTTATTTAATGCCGTTTATTACTATAACGCATTCCAAGTTATTGTAAACTCTTTGTGAGCCCAGACTCATGAAAACACGCCTCAAACTACAGTCAATACTTGTGTCAGACACAAATAAACTTTTTATGTTTGATTTTGACAGAAAGCTGAATCCTTGTGAAAATATTGCAACCAAATTGCTTGCCACGGCTATGAAACTYCAAAATAGAAAAGACTACAGTGCAGCTGCTATTTTCCTTATTTATTCAATTTTCAACCATAGAAATCAGATCAGTCTTTTCTCAKTCAAAGCTAATGATTAGTTGATTAAAATGACTGGAAAAAAAATRGGGGTGCCCGAGCTCGTTAGTGAGCTATAGCCATTTTTCAACTGACAGAACACAATATCAAGGCAAATCCGCCATGTTTTCAATGTGCACGTACACGAACGCGTGCTAATGACGCCATAAATTATACGCAGTAAGGATGCGCAATGCCATACTGGGGAATGACCTTAAAAGTAAGCTGAGACAACTTCACATATAATAATTATCGTATTTATTGATTCACTGGAATTCAACATTTTGAAGGAAATAGAAAATATGACTGCTTACAGGTATGATTTTTTTCAATCGCAAAAGGACACTTTCAACGACCTGTTTTGAACGTGCTTTTAATTAAAGAAAAGATTTAAAGTTTACTTTTAGAGTTTTAGTGTGAGCCAGCTCATTATAAAATTTTTTTTTTTACAAAAACGCATCAAGTGCACTGTAGATATAGATAAACAGATTGAAATATCGCCCAGGCGAAAATAAATGGTTTAAACAAATTTATAACTACACGTTTTATCAAATATATATTTAAATAAAGACAACTTATCTAGGCCTTTTTCGCATTGAAACCTTTTTGTTTCTAATCTCGAACTACCAAATCTTCCGAACGTTTCCTATACCAAATTGAAGCTTATGGAGCTGGCTATCAAACTATACCAAGAATTTTGAAATAAAATGAAATGCCGAATTTTCTTTTGACCTCTAAATGTGATAGGTAGGTATAGTTTGATAGCCAGCTATATAAGCTATAATTTAAGATAGGGGTTTAGGAATCTACAGTTTAAATCGGACGCGCTATATGGCTTACACATGGCATGCGGTAACCTTAACTTATTGCCTTACTTTTCTTGTCAAGTTAATTTGAGAACTTACAGACACATCACGACTATTCCACATTTGATGATCTGTAATATTCTCAACACATGACTGCTTGTCAATGCGTTCACGAATGTAAAGAGAAGTCAAGTTTTAATCGCTGTTAAATAAGACCCCGGCCACCGTTCAACGGTCTCAATTTATAAAAACTTCTAAGTATTATCCGCAGGCAGTAAATAATTCGAAATATAACAATTTGTCGTTTTAGCAATTTTCTGCAAGGATATTAAATAAATTGCGTACGAACTCTACCACTACATAAATAACACTTATCTGGACTTAAGTTATAAACCGTGCATATTAAATATGAATCACAAATAACGTGTGCATATTGCATCAAAATTCGATTTCGAAGTAATTGTGACACTTCTAAGTCCAAATGAATTCACAATGTAGCCGACGAGGAATGAAAAATCCTGTTAACAACACGACTACGATTGGTCAGCGTTCTTTTTATGTTGGCAAAGGACTGGGTAAGGACAAGCCCGATATTTTACTCGGTCTGTTTTAGATACGGCTCAATTAGTTTCTAGTCCCCTTTACGTTTCTAATCTGAACTTCAGTGCCCCACTACTCATCTCAGATTTAAATGCAAAGGGCAAAACACAGTCGTTTGCTCTCACGTCACACCGACCAAAGGCACATTAAAGCATATTCGTGTGACGTCACTGTCCTCGTCATCTTCTATCCCCAGTTCTCCTCTCCTTCCAGTCTTCCGCAGTAAGTGAGCGTAGCGCGGTACCTCAGATTGAGAGGAACTGGGTCGATAAGCGTGTCTTAGATGAATGCTTTCTACGTGAAAATTGTCCGGCATCACTTGTTTGGGTCCTGGGGTCACGTGACGTAAATAGCCGAGTTTTTCTGGAGGAAGCTTGTAGTCTGGAGGAAGCTTGTAGTCTGGAGGAGGAATACGAGGCTGAAAGGAAATAAAGAGAAGACTGAGGTTTATTTTTCTCTAAGAGGGCACGGCAACGAATCCTGCAATCTGATTGGTCCTTAGCGCTGTCCGCATTTTCCTATCTCTGACCAAGGTCACGGTAACGCGCGCGCGATGTGTGTGTGGGAAAAGGTCAATAATTTTAAAAGTGATATGAGAGAGAAGAATAAAATAAATAAGTTATTTTCAGGCTTAGGGTCGGTCTGTGCAGTGAAAAACTGTGACATTGTGTGTGACATCCATGACAACATTAAGTGTCAGGCTTTAAAGCTCTGTTGTCCAAAGGATAACAAAATTCCAAAACCGTAACGATCCAAAGAGCTGTTAGCCCAAACGTACGGCGAGCCGTTGTTTTCCGAGTTGTTCGAGAGACAATTAGATAGAATCTATTTTCCTTACCAATTCCTGGACGGGCTCAGAAGATGAGCGTGGTCTTTCCTGTTGAGCCAGAGCAAGCCTGACTAGATCTGCTTGATTTCGAGGCTCCTTTGGTTTCGGTTTTTCACGAACAGGTTTTTCTTGTAAAACAGGTGGTGATGCAGGCTTCTTGGGGGGTTCCTGTGGCGCTGGTTTTGGTTTCCATTCATTGCTCTTTGTCCTTCTCACGACAGGTTTTGGTTCTGGTGGTTTTGCTTGATTCTCAAAGAAATTTCTGTACAAAAATCAGGCATAATCATAAACAACACCTCCTCAAAGTATTGCTCAATAGCTTTCATTTGAATGGCCACACACTACTGAGGTTTCATCCACAGACCTTAAAGTTAGAACCACCTTGTACAGCATAATAAACAGTACCACATGAAAGTACTGCTCAATAGCTTTCATTTGAATGGTCACACACTAGGGTTTCATCCGCAGACTTTAAAGTCAGAACCACCTTGTACAGCATAATAAACAGTACCACATGAAAGTATTGCTCAATAACTTTCATTTGAATGGTCACACACTAGGGTTTCATCCGCAGACTTTAAAGTCAGAACCACCTTGTACAGCATAATAATACACAGACATTTTGAATATCCTACCTGGCCTTTGCCACTACAGGTGTTGGTTTTGCCGTTTCTTTTGGAGGACTCTCTGTCCGCTCAACAGTGTCAGAGGGTTTTCCTACAACAATAGACAACATATTTCGGACACGGCGCTCTTGATCTGCAACAAAACAACAGCATGGATTGTTCGTACTGAAGATGATAATGAGCTTCATTCTAATTCTGAGCGTTTAAGGTTGTACCCTGTACTAACTGGGGAGTCTTATTCAAAGGCGATTATCTTTCAACTTTAACTCGCTTTACATAGGTATTAAAATTAACCTGTTTTACCTTTAGATTCCTTTTTCAGCCTGTCATCCTGAAAAGACAAAGAAAAAAAATATCTTTTCAACTGAATACAAGATTAACTTTCAACACAACGTACTGTTTGTCGTGAAATGTCCAAATTATGAGTTTTATTTTATTTTATTTTATTTTTGGAGAGCAATAACGACGACATACAATGCCCTTCCATTGTTTCTGTATGAGAGCTCGATCGTCGTCTTCCCAAATTAAGGTACAGTTTAGACGATTTATAACCTTAACCCTGTGCGGAATAAGCTATCCGTTGTACAGAGGTTTCAAGAAAACCCTAAACTTAAGGTCACGACTAAAAGAACCCAGGCCATTGTAGAGAGCTGGCCAGTATGACGAGACAAACTTAGTCAACTGAATAATGGTTGAACAACTTGTTCAAATAAATTCATTTCTCTAATGTCGTCCATGACAGTTCTGTTATGTCTCAAGTGTGTCTTCGAGGTAACGCCACATTCATTTAAATAACGGTAGCAAAACTCACCGCGAAATGTTTAAAGTACGTTTCATCTCCTGCAGACCAGATCTCTTTCCTGAAGAATGAAACAGTGACCTCAAAATCGGCTTATTACTTACGGTTAAAATGTCTAGTGTAGAATATTTGAGAAAAAAGGTGTTCTTTAAGTACAAAGTCATTGAAATACAAGAGAGGATCATGTGGTGGGTTCTCTCTTTAATAAACGTATCAGGGTCTCACAAGTTGTTTGCACAACCAATTACATTTGATGTATAGTGGTTAGGGACGGACCATTATTGCTTTGAGGGGCAGGAGTGGGGCGGGGGCTGGGCAATTTCCTGGTGCATGAATGCTTTTCTCATCTTTAGGTTGTGCATGATTTATTTTTGGTGGGCAAAAGCTTGTGTGAGAATTATTTTTAAAAGTCAAACACAAGACCTGGGTAGTGGAAAACACTGCTCGATTCTTCCCCCATGGCTCTCCTGGAACGATCTGTTTTTTTTCAGCAGTTTTTACTGCGCAGGAATATATTTGAAAATTACCGAACCTCCCTCCCCCCTCAAAAAAAAAACGGTCCGTCCCTTGGTTGAATCAGAAAGCACATCGGTAACAAGAGGAAAGAGACAGGCCGCCCTTATAACTAGAAATTTGTACAAACCTGTAACTACGGGTGCTTCGTGAGGAATCTTTGCTATGCATCTCCGCTAACACAAGTTCTCCTGTAAACATTTCCAGACAGCAGCAAGTTACCAGTCAGAAAATCAGGCGACAATAAAAATTGCTACTGTTGTTGTTCGTACTTTCATTATTACTGGCAGACGTCAAAATCAACATTAACTTGCTGGATTCAACAATGATCCAATCTCAGCTTAAAACGCGCTCTCACACAAACTCCCCAAGCTTGGTTTCTATTCTCGCTGAGACTCTTATCAATCCTATTCAGTTTACACATTCTGTTCTGCTCTCCTCCTCTAATACTTTTGTTTTCATTTCAACCTTTTTAAAATAAATATTTCTACCAAGACTACTTAATAAACCGTAACTTACTTGGCCGCACTTCGAAGCTCCTTCGTTGTGGACTTCTGGGGACATTACTAGCAGGGGCTCTGTCGTGGTGTCGTCCACTTTGCGGTGGTCCCTTAGGAAGTACTTGTACTTTGACCGGTCTCGGCGGAGTCTAAACATGACCAACAGTGAATTTTAATACAATTTTCCATCGTGGTTCACGTTCTCCAGACAACGCAGAATTAGGTCATTTTACGTTGTTGTTTTACAGAGGACGGCAAAGAAATGTACCAAGAATTATAACGCACGTGCACAGCCATTGTATTGTTCATTTTAAAAACCTAAAAAGATAAAAGCAATGGCGAAGAGAGCAGGATGCAGCTAAAACGAAAATAGCGAAAACGAAAATCGTTAAAACTCCTCAAAACGATGCGCAGCAAGTTCGAAAACACCGTTAAATCCAAATCAAAATAATAGGAATTATTAAAAGAAACATAAAGCTCTATTATTTATCGCTTGATATCAAAAAGACCTACCGGTGGACTGGGCGGTGGCTCGGAGTTGTAGTGTCGTTGTGTTTTGGTGTGTTCTAGCAGATTATTCCAGGACGAATTTACCTTGAAAATAGATAGCAACATCAACAGCAGGATCTCAATAGTGGTCTTTAGTACGAGAAGAAATAAACAGTAGAAAAAGACAGAATGGCTAGCTGCTCTAGGACAAGACGAATTCTCACTTGTAACGCAATCTTTCCTTCAAATGAAGAAAAGCTTGCTTGACGATAGCATACACATCAAGTAAAGGTTTGCATGACGAGCCCACATGAAAGAGCGAGGGAAATTGCGTGACAAGCCAAAGAGAGCATCGTCGTAAACTGCTGACCTGTTGTATAAAGAAGATCATCTGTGTCTCTTGCTGTGAGGCCAGCGCTTCTTCATCATCGTTTGTCAAACGTCCTACTCCAGGGGCTGACCAAAACTCTTCAGGATCTTTACGTCTTCCTTCTGTAGATAAGAAAAATGCCGCGAAAACCGAACAAAACCCTTGATTCCACAGTATCTACGTGTACAAAATGAAATTTTGTCTCTTCTGGCTGCTCTGGAAAATGTATGAAGTCCTGTCCAAATGGAAAATGCTTGGCGATCAAACACGATCAATAAGTAATGTACTTTGTAAATAAGGTGCGAAATTCAAATTAAAAAAAACCGAGGGGAAAAAATAACACGATCCAATATTGTTTGTTGACCAGCCATTTTCCCGTTTGGACACCTTGTTTGGCCGTGTTGGATCGCGTTTAATAAAATTTGAACGAAGTCAAACATTTAATCAAACATTGTAAAACATTTTGTTCGTTCAGACGTGTTTGAAACGGTTTGGCCACTCAGTGCTACATCAACATGTTTGGTCGCCAAACAATGTATGATCGTGTTTGGTTGCCAAACATTTCCTTTTTGTACAGAGGTTAAGACCATTGAGTTTTGTCAGCGAGCGCAAAAACATGCGCTTTCTCAGGAGCCGCGATCTCACCGGTCAGCAGCCTCTGTGTAGACGACTGAAGATCGATTTAAACCATATTGGTCAAGGTGAACAAACCTTTGATCACGATAGCGCCCTTTTTGAGATCCACCTGCAATAAGACGAAAGCTTGTTTAGAACTAACATCGTAGTAACAGTACTGGTGGTAAATCTTAAAGCCCTTATGTCTCTCCGTCGCGTGATCAGATATTTTTTTTCTCATTAGGTTTACCTGGTTTCTGTTGAGAAACTAGCTGTTGATCGCAAATAAGGTATAACTCCACCTTTTCTCCACCCGCTAATGCGGTATCATGGCAACGTTTTCGTCTGGTCTTTTGTTATCATAAGAACCTTGTTAGGGACGCACTATAATATTTTTTACGGTGGGGCGTTGGGCAATTTTCTGGGGCATGATATGTTTTTCTCACCTTTAGGTTTCTGGTGGGTAATAGCTTGTGCAATAATTATTTTTCAAAGTCAAACACAGGACCTGGATGGTAGAAAGCACTTGCTGGATTTTTTTTTTTCCCATGACTCCCCTTGCACGATTTCAGTTTTTTTTTCAGCAGTTTTTGCGGTGCAGGAATTTTGGGGGGCATTGCCCAATCCCCCCCTCCTTCCTCTCAAAAAATAATGGTCCGTCCCTCATAAGACCAAGCCTTTCACACAACCACATTTTCATGGCCCAAATTAAAGGTGGTGGGTGGTCGTATCAAGGATATTCAACTGTAAAAAGAAATACTAAATAAATTTTCGTACATTTTTGTGTCCCTTCTGAGCTCTTAGCAACACGTCTGATGAATCCTCGATCTGAAAAGAAAAATGGAAATACAGTGTATTCATATTTGCTAAAACTTTGATGAAATCGAGACAGATTTTGCAGAATTTCAAAGCAATTTTATCTGAGCCCAGTGTCGTGGGTGCTCCTTTATTCTACACGGGCGATTGCTAGTTGAAAATCGTTAAAACTAGCGCCCCTTTTTATCAAAACCCACAACAAAGTCATAGACTTTTCGCTCCAGAATAGCTTGCGGTTATAGCCATACTCAATAAGTTTTAAATACAAACGGAACATCCCTCAATAGCAGAGTACATTGACTGCAAAGTGTTCCTTATAGAAGGAAAAAAACATTCACCAAAAAAGTGAGTTCTGCTTGCTACAGGAGGCATTTTCAAACACGTTTATCAAAATTCTTACCTGCTGCAAGAAGTAAATCCTTTTGGTTTCCACTTTTGCTGCTATCGTTTTGAGCTTGGAAACATCCTTGCGGGCCTTGTAACCGCGATAATCTGAAAATAGAAAGAAAACTCAGTTTGCAAAAGCAACTGCAATTATTGAATGTCTGATCCTTGGCTTGTAGGAGGAATTTGAATTTGCTGCACAAAAAAGAAAGAAAGTAACATGGGGTATGTGTGGAAGTAACAGCCGGTAAACTAGTCACATTGTAACAAATTTGTGCAAGATTTCCTAACGTTTTTCTACAATATTACTTACTGGACTGAATTTGAACTGCTGCTCTTACTTTGGCCCCTGTTGAAAAAAAAAATTCATACAATGACTCACAGAATGCGCATTACAAACTCCACCAATGCTATAGTAGACAGCAGAGTCATTCAACAGCGCGTCCACGCGGGACGAGGTGGGGCGAGCAAACGAAACTAAGAGCTGACTTAGCAAAACCTCAGCTCCAGGCCCTCCCTATAGCCTCTCTAAGCAGCCTGTCTAAGTGCACCAAAGCCGGACACGAAAACCCCGAAAAACCAGCAGGTGTAAAAATTTGGGAAAGTGTGTCCCCGACCAAGGCAGTGGTGCCACCCTTGAGGTTTTAGGGTATCCTAATTAAACGTAGTGCACACAAAGATAGTAAATTACAGCGACGTCAAGAAATATAAACAATCGGAGAGTAACATTCGTGCATGACCAAGAAAAAGGAAAAAGGAGCTTTACAACTGTACACGGCGAGGGTTGACTGTAGAATGTCTTACCCTGCTAATGGCAACTAATTTCAAACTCTAATCCCATTGAACACTATGCACCTCGAACCCGTTCCCAACCCTCTGCTCTGTACCGGTAAATTGGTAATTTATGCTAATTAGGGATTATCACAAATTACATTTTGCGCTTGTCACAATGGTAAGGAGCGTGTGACGGTCCCATAAGAACGTTTGCGTGACAAGCCATAAACAAGTTTGTGCAGAGGCCGGGTTAAGCCCTTCCACGCGGAAACCATTTTGGATGAAGTGTTTTCTAAGTGTTGCTGTGACACCGAGAAATGTGACGTCTTACTTTGTTTCTCTTTCGCTCTCTTCTGTCTTCTTCTAATGACTACCATATTTCTTCTTACACGGTAACCACGATAAGCTGTGACAGAAGACAAAATGAGTTCAGAAAAACGTATTCAAACTAGAAGAAGCCCGGTGCTTGACTAGAAAATGTCGGAAAACAACAAATTAGTTATTTTCCGACATTTTCTACCCAAGCACCGGACTTTTTCTAGTTAATTTAAAGGTAGAAGCAAATGGCATGCGAAAGGAGATTACGAAACTTTACTACAAAACAATAAAATCACAAGATTTGAGCTTTTACACTTTTTCCAATAGATTCACCACGACAGGTTTGTTAGCGCGCAGTTTGTGTACTGGTCAGTTTTACTGAAAAAAAAAATTAACTACAGCTTTATTTAGAAAAAGGATCCTAAATCCAACTTTCTGCTTGTAAGAAACACCGTAACTTCCCAATATAAGCTTCACAAAGTTCTACAGTAAGCTCTGTGATAATAATGGCAGATGTTCTTGCCGCTTATCGCTAAGCTAAAGCAGTATCTGATCTGAAGCAACCTTTACACCATAATATCCATTTACCTAGCCTGTCCACAGACCCTCTGTTTTGTCTTGCATCGAGATCGCAAGCAAAAGTATTCACCGCAGGGAATTTAAAAAAGACCAAACGCAAGGAGGTGGCCCTGGAGAACGAGAAGAATTGCGCCCGCTTCCCCACCGCTCTCGCGCACTCGCATCGCTCGCGCGCGCGCATCACTCGCGACCTCGAAACTCGCAGAAAAAAATGAATGTCTGTGGACAGACTACTATTCACCTGCTTGAATTGTGGTCGCGCTCTTGTGTTTCAAACGACGCATGCGCTGGTAACGTCTCCTCACAAGATAACCACGTACCACTGTGAAGAAAAATAAATCCAAGTCCCGCTCTCAACCTTTTCAGTCATAAGATCAAAACTGTAATTCTCCTTACAAGTCACCATACATTTATAGCAATGTGAGTTCTGAGAATTTGGTTTTTCATCAAGACAATAAAAGTTGATAATTTTTTATTCTCTACTTGTAAGAGTATTGGTGATGTAAAGAGAAAAAAATCGTTTGAATCGTTTAGCTACATAAATAAAATAACAAGTGCAAGCTAAACTTTTCAAGATGTGCCACGCGGAACAGCTCGTGTATAAGAACTGAAAAAAATTGGCCGGGTCATTGTAGAGAGGAATTCGTTATAATCTCTCAGAAGGAAGAACCTTTGTGTAGCGTTTATACTTTTCAGAAAAAACTGGGAAAGACTAATATTACCTGTTTGAATTTTGATGGCGCTCTTGAGTCGTTTTTCTTTCCTCTTCTTTTTCACTTCCTGTTGAAAACGTTTCCGGGCTAGGTAACCACGCGAATCTGCCAGGAACCAGGCAAAGGAGAGTAAATAAGTTTACTGAGTGGAAGTGGAGCGCTTGGTTTATATTCTCGCCTTAATAGTAAAATATTTCCCAAAAAATAGTAAAATTACAAGATTTTGCAGGATTTGCACGCAAGACAGTTTCTTTATTCCAACAACTTCTTTCCAGAGAGATCTTCTTTATTTTTCAAACATTTAACACCGAAAATCTCACTCTCAAACGTCAGTAGCCTCAAAGATTTCAGCAGTCTTGCTTATTTCATCAAGCTTTCTTTCCACTAGTAGTATCCATTACTTTGTAGCTCATAACTGAAGTAGAAGGTACGTCAAGATGCCACAGGCCCTCCCTTCATCGTACACACGTTGGCTCACAGAAGCCTTTGATCAAAACGGTCCAAGAGAAACAGCAGCGGCATTTAACTTTCAATAATAATCTGTTATTCATAGGACCTTGGGTAATTTACTTACGTTTTTGAATGACGATTGCCGCTTGTTGCCTTTCTCGTTTCAGAATTGCGTACCGTCTTCGCACTAACCAGCCTCTTATAACTGCGGGAAAAGGAATAATTTTCTAGTAAACTATTCACTAAACGACAATAGAGATTAAAAGGGCCCACAACTTCGACATCTATCGTGCGTCAGATTCTCGGCTCCAGGGGCCCAGGTCTGGGCCTGACTGGGTTCACTGTGTTGTGTTCTTGGGTGAGACACTCAACTCTCACAGTGTCTCTCTCCACCCAGGTGCATAAATGGATTAATGCTGGGGGTAACCCTGCGATGGACTAGCATCCCATCCCGGGAAGAGTAGAAACATTCCCAGGGATTCATGCCACAGAATTCAGAGCTCGCGCGGGTTATTTCGATCCCCAGGTTAGGAACAAGTTTTACCTTAACTTTTCTTATTGGGAATAAAAATAATTAAACGGTTTGATTAGTAGAACTGTCTCAATCTCGACCGGTAGGCCGTTTCCGAGTTGCCTTGTGCCTCTGTGTGAAAAAAAGTTTTCGTGCAAAACCATTCATATCAAAATGTGTTCCCCCTACAAGTTCATTTTCATGCAAATCAAAATCATTTTCATATGAAAGGTTTTTTTACGAGGACTCGCTTACAAACAAAGACACAAGGTAACCCAGAAATGGCCTATTATGAGATGAGGATAACTAACGATGGCGAAGAAGGAAAGTAATTTTTAAAACAGCAGAGCTTGCTTTGTCACAAAAGTAACAAACACGAGCTTGTAACACAAACCAACCTGTCTGTAAAGTGACGACCTTTCTCCTGTGTATCTCAAGAAGCCTGGCGAGTTCCTCCACGTGGTAGTACTTGAGAAACACTTTGGTTCGACCAATGAGCCAGTTCTCTAGCTTACTTTTTGTTAAAATTTTACTACAGGTCGTGGCATCGCCAGGGATTTTCTTGTGAAGAGGGTAAGCGAGTATTTGGTACCTGAGAGAGCCAAGAAAGAAAATAAAAAGAGATTTAGACTAGAGTGAAAGAAGACACAAATAGAGAAGGAAACCTACAAAAACTAAGTTATGACAAATCGCTTCAGACATATTATGCAGCCGGCTTGTTGTTATTCTTCATCTGATTGCGGCGGTTTTCAATTGGGTG